TCTCTAGCACTGGGGCTTTCTGAGAAAAGCTTGAGAATGTGACCTGAGTGCACCCTAAAGACTCAAAACACTGAAGATAAAGAAAAATTATCCAAATTGTATGATTTTACTTTAAAATCTCCTAATTTATAAGGCAGTTATTATTTTGTTGGGTGCAGGCTGACTCATTCTCCTTGAATATTTGGGGTTAGAAATACTGTGTATGTTCTGATCACCGCATAATTCCCATCTCTTTGCATGAGCTTTGCCACAATGGAGGACTGAAGAACGTATGAGCCATTCACAGGCAGAAAAGGAAAACTTCAGACAAATAAAAAAAATCCATCCAACTAGGTAAGAGTAGTTCAGCACAACAGCAGTCTTCTGTAGTTAAATCAATTTGATCCTTTATTTTGTACCAGTGGTTAGGCAGTGTGATTGGATGCTTGATAGATTGACAGCTAGGTCATCCATACTGGCGCAGGGTATGTGTCACGTATTTTTACATTTTATTGGTTTGTCTCAGATTAGTCAGTTCACAGATTTCTTGCCTGCTTTCCTCCTTGCTTGTAATTTTCATCCCATCTTCTACTAGCTTTTTACAGAAACATCAGAGCACCAACATTCATTAACTGGTATATGTTAGAGGGCAGATTCTCTTGTGCATTCTGGCCCCTTTGCTTTTTCTCTGGTGGTACACAAAAGGCCAGGAAGCAGCCAGATCTGGCTAGCTGAGAATTCCTGAGGAATGGGGGAGAAAGATTTGTGAGGGGGCACGGATGTACAAGAGTGCATTGAGCTCCAACTGCTGCAGTCAGCTGGCATAAGTTAGAGCAGCCTAGTTGCTGCTCTAACCAACCATGGGTTCAGATCTACCCTGAGATTCAAGGAGCGGCCCCCTCTGCTGTGCCACACAGAAACTCTGTGCAGCAGAGAAATTGGGCCCCTACGTTTCCAACACTCTGTCCTCTCTTGTTAAAATTAATATTATTTCTTGTGTCTGGTGGCTTATTGTCTGTTTTTTTTTTTGTTTTTTTTAATTGTATTTCTTTATTTAGCCTCTAATCCTGGGAATTATTTCCCCTTACAGTGTCTTAGCACATAAGTGCACAGGCCTTTTCTCATCCATATTGTCCCTGCGTTGTCTCAGAAGAAATAAAACAAGCCTTATAATAATGTTGGAACAGAAAGGTTTTAGACCTGGAATGAAGGCAGATTAAAAACTTCTATTATAGTTCTGGTAGATGGTCCTTGGCAGACATGTGCTGTTGTCTCTAGTCCCTGGAGGAATCTGTCTGTCAGCCAGCAAGTGTCTCAAAGTAAGAATGACCCAGAGTTGGGGGGGAGGAGGTGGATAGACTGAAGGCAGAATTCTTAATCTAATGGGAGAAGATGCCGTCTGACATAAACCGGACATTATTCACCCATCATCCATAAACATGCATGAGAGCTATCTTGTGTGGGAGTAATAACCCTGAGCTGACCATAAGTCTCTTTGTCACTGGAGGGAATGAACCCAGTTACGGGTTTTTTTTCTGCATTCCTTCCATGGTATAGCTACCTCCTTTTTGGGGGAGATTTACCAAGAGTGACGGGCTATCATGCCTGTATCCCGTACAGGCTCTCCACAGCAAGGCCGAGGTTATGCTAACCAGTGCTGCAGCTGTAGTTGTGTGTGCAAGTGGTCCAGTGGCTCTCTGCCAGCCCTTCACAGCCTTTCCTCCAGAACATCCATTCCCCACCCCTGGCTAAACCTCTTCACAGAGCACATCTCACACCCTTTGGCTTATCTTGACCTAGAAACTCCAAGGAGATTTTGTTCTAAAAGGATGCCTGACAAAACCAGCTATTCTCTGCAAACGGCATTAGGGCTTCTTTAAATGTGATAATCAGACATTCAGACAGGAAGAAGAGTCTCAAAAAACACTTTCTAATGTGGGTTTCATACACTTTCTCTGGCCTACACAGACTCTTTTGAATTAATGTCTTAAAATAGGTTCAGCTTCTCTGGATTTTTTTTTTGGTAATGTACCCAGGAGCTGTAATGTAGCCACAACTTAATGCCCAAAGTACTGTTTGTAAGGGAGTCTATTTTTATAAGATTAGGGCTTATTTGAGGATGAATTAAAAATAACCTTGCAAGTTACTCCAGGCTTTATCTCTCATGCCCGGTTGCATCATACGAGATGGAGGAAATTCCTGCACGCTGCAAATAAACCTATAATCATTTAATCTGCAACGGGTTACTGTGAAATCCAAACAGAAAACCTCTTTCGTAGAGTTGCACAGTACTTACAATCACTCAGAATTTCCAAGCCCTAGTGTAGAATCAGAAAATAGAAAAGGAAAGAAACAAGCAGATCAGCGGCAGGCTGGCCTGGGGTGGTGCTTTGAGTGGGAGCTGAGTGGGAGTCCCAGCTTGGTTAGGATTTGGGAATACTATAGTGCAGGACGTTCATCCCAATTAAATCTCCTCACGACGATGAAAGAAAGTGCAGTGTATAAAAGTGGCACAGAGTCCTGCCAGTTTCATCACACACTTCCACTTCGCCTCCTACAACACCATGGCAACCTATCTCCTCTAGGAGTGACAGAGCCAGGGACCTCAGCTGCTGCTCCTCTCTGAAACTCCTATGGGGGTATGTGTGGGAGGAGGCATCACAACATATAGCACTTGCTTTGCTTTGGCCTACAGTTTTAGGAGGAAGGAGCAGGATGCCAAAGAGAATAGCCAGGCCTGCCCGTCCAACAGAGAAGTTTCTGTGGGAATCTGGAGGCATGTGTAGAGCTGGTGCTCCCCCTGTGACCCTACTCAGATCCAAGAGTTTAGTTTACTCTGCATTGACAGAAGCAAAGGGAGTGTGGGGCCAGACCTATACAGGAATCACCTGACTTATCACTGAAATGCAGCTGCCTCTGGAGCAAAACATTGGGTTTGTGCAGCACACAGCAGCAACACAGAACAGTTTAGGACAGGAAGTGAAGAATACTGTATCTAATGTTTGTCCTAGATTTACATATCAGTATAAAGCAAATATCTCACCACACAGCAACGGACTTGACCTGGCTTACTAATGTAATAGGAAATTGGATCAGAAACATAATTATGCTGCACATAATGGACTTAAACACTCTTAGCTCAGCCTTCACTTCCTATTGTGACCGCTGCTCAAAACGCACTTTACGAAGAGAGAAAAGCAAGGAAACACAACAGTACACCGGCAGTTGTACAACAAAGAAAAACACTGTCAGCTGTAAATATGAAAGCCTATCATCATTTATTTCAACACAACATTTGGCAAAAGGGCCAGTAAAACACCCTAAGAGTTTAACTTATGGTAGCAGTGACATTTATTTTTAAAAAATCGTGCTTTTGAAAATGAAATCTATTTGCTTAGGACACCACACATCTTCTTTAAAAAACTACTTACATTAAAATAATAAGTTTATAGCTTGTTGGGAATGCAAGGCCCTTGCATTAATGCTTTAAAAATACAGCTTTTAGCGAAGCCTGGAAATGACTGACAGAATATAAAATATTTTCCATGTTAGGTCCTGATCCTGAAAACTCTTACTTGGGGGAGTCAAAGGCAGTGCTTGTGAGAGTATGGACTGCTCAGTCAAGTACAAATTTGCACTACCCCTTAGGTAGTGGGTAAGGCTAGAGAACTCATCACTAATATTTCTGATCAGTGGAAATTTCATCCTCCTTTCCCCTTGGCATGACTACTACTCCTCTACCTCGATATAACGCCGTCCTCGGGAGCCAAAAAATCTTACCGCGTTATAGGTGAAACTGCGTTATATCGAACTTGCTTTGATCCGCCGGGGTGCGCAGCCCCGCCCCCCCGGAGCACTGCTTTACCGCGTTATATCCAAATTCGTGTTATATTGGGTCGTGTTGTATCGGAGTAGAGGTGTATTAAGAATGCATTGACAGTGTGTTGGTTCTATAAAGATACAAAGTATGGAGAATCTCTGCTTCTTGAGGTCACCATGTGAACACAATTCAGGCTTCTGCAACTGGCAAAGATAGTGACTTATATTGCTGAGTAATCAGGCCCATGTCAAATAAGAGCACTGTAGAGTGACAGAGTCATCACTGTCTTTACCAACCCCTCCCCTCAGCATCCAATTAACCTCTTGTTCGCTGAATGTGGAGACCGCTCGGTATGCTGGAGACTTTCCAAGTGGCCACAGGAGTCAGTTGCCCATTTCCCATTAGAATTAATTGGGAGTTGGGTGTCTAGCTCCCTTATGCTCCTTTGAAAACCCCAGCCAGAAACATCTGTGAAACAGCAAGATTCTTTTAAATGCTGGGAATGTAGGAAGCATGAGAGTTAAAACCAGGAGGGTGATTTTGCCTAACACTGCAGTTCATTAGGTAGCACTCAAGTTAAAAGTACCTATTATATACATTGTCAACCTATTATATATACCATTATATAATTAATTACAACGTTTTCTTTAGATACATATTAAGGCTGGGATTTGCAGTGGAACCTAAGAGACTCATTCACCCAAATCCAAATGAAATTCTAGGAGAATTGGGCATTTAAATCCATTAGGTACCTTTGAAATTCCTATGTAGTATATATACACCTGTTATATCACAAAATCAATCTCTCTCTCTCTCTCTCTCTCTCTCTCTATATATATATATATACACACACACATACACACACACACATTTTATATCCATTGTAAGAGATTATGCAGGGAAAAAGTCATTTAACCAATAACAATAATACATTTTTGTTTAGTCAATGTTGCATTTGGTTAGTTAGTTCAGTGTCTTTTTACAAACCTGTTCTACAATGTTAGGTACTTTGACTGCAGGCCTGAGAATCACCTCCTTTGTTAAAGTGCAGTCCCAATGGATGAATGAATCTGAATGTTTTTAAGGTGCAATACAAATAAAAGACAGGATTTGGTGGCTTCTCCTCCCACAAGAGCTAACAATAGAAGACTATTGCAAGTAAGACATGAACAATGTTTTTTAAATTGCTCTTGGCCACAATTTATGATAGGCTAAATTTTTCATAAAACTCTAAGGCATTCAGGAACTTTTCCCGAAGGATCTCTTCATTGCTGTATCTCGGGAGCACCAAGATGTGATAGCAGGTATTGGCAATAGGATGGAAAAGGTCTGGGTTTTCTTTTTGAAAGTCTGCAATAGTGAATTGAAAATGTCTCATCCCTTCGGCAGGGATTCGATCCGTTCCTGTCAGAAAAGCTGAGGGGAGGAAAAAAAAGTCAACAAGATACAGACAGAAAACACACAAAGATAATATTATTGGGGAGTGGAAGGGGGCAGAGAATCACAAAGTAAATATACAAGTAATTGTATAAGCTATTTGTTTTTTGTTTTACACTTAGTGTACTTGCGTATTTTGAATCCTTTTACTTGCCGACTTATAATGAGCATGATCCCTTCTTTTCTTTTTTAATCAAAAAGATTTTTTAAGTTAGAAAGGCTAGGCTAGGCTTTCTGTGCTTAAAAACTACGAACATGATCCAGCAACATTCTGGATAAAGCAGGGCCTACTTGTGTCAGTAAGGACCATTCACATAATTAAGGACTCCTCTTAGGCCCCGACCAAGCCATCTCTTTTATGCCACCTCCTTCTGAGCTGTGCCACAATTTCACCTCAAAATTTATAAAATTAAATACAAAAAGACACAAGGGAATTGCTATCTATGGTTATCCTGCACTAAGGTACTATGGTGATAGATGTCTTCAAATACCTTGTAGAGAGAGATTAATTAGTAAATCTAGCAGAATTTCTGTCCTGTGGGGAATTTCTGATATTTTGACATTTGTTGTCATCCCAAATCAGGGGGAAAAAAGTCCAAATTTCAATTTTTTTCATGGACTGGAAAGTTCATAAACATTTCAATTAGGAAATGTCTACACATTTTGTTCAACATTTTCAATCAAAATTCAATGTTTCAGCACTCTCAAATTTGAAACATTTCATTTTGGTTTGGTGAACCAAATTAAAAGGTTCCATTTTGACTTGGTTCAACATTAATTTGGGGCCTTTCTGAGCTGTCACAGTGCCTCATGGGAGTTGTAGTGCTAGTGCGTAATGCCCCCATTCTCCTCTATGGACCGGGCTCCCTGGCTGGACTGCATCTCCCATGATGCATCACAGTCTCCCCGCTGGTTGAACCATTATGGTGCATCATGGGAGTCCAGCCAGGGAGCACTTGCCCAAAAAAGAAAATGGGGGCATGGGGCAACTGAACGACATATTCCATAATGCTCTAGGGCTGCTCAGGTGAGCAGAGATTAATGCTGAACTGACCTGAAACTAAACCTTTTGATTCATTTTAAAACATCAAAATGTTCAATTGGGGTCTACCTGACCCAAAACATTTTGTTTAGATTTTCCTGGAAAATCAGAGAGTGTCAGCAAAATTTAAAGTTTTGCCTGTAGAAATGGCATTTTCTGTTGGGAAAAAATATTTTAACCGAAATCTGCAGCCCAGCTCTACTCTGAAATCAGCCGATCCAATCAAAGAGGGAGCTGGGGGAAAAAGGCAGAAGTCTTGACACCTAGTCCTCTGCTCTAACCACTAGCACATACTTCTAAAATATTTCCAGCAGAACCACCTGATGTTTTGCTGTGGCTGTAGCTCATTATTCTACTAGTATCCAGTGTCACATTCTTTCATTGACATTCTATTGAAGTCAATGGGGTTACACTGATGAAGAATTAAGTAGATATTCTTCCATTTATACTCATTCAAATACTCTCATGAGGTAATGGCTGTGAAGCTAATCAAATACCTCCTGCCTCCGCTGCATGCTGATTCATGACCCATCACCTCCACTGGCTCTCTATTAGCCTTAGGTGGAATAATATTTAGTGCATTATTTAAAGTGCCTGTTTTATTACCAAGAAAATTCTTCTTCTTTTCTTCTGGGAGTTCATGAAACACAGCCCAAAAATTCTGGATGGTTTGATCAGACTTTTCATAATCTTCGTACTTTGTATTCTGTCAAAGAGAATAAAAATAGACCTGCCCAGTTAATCTACAAATGTAAGACTGGAAGACACCTTGCTAAGTATTATCTAGAACATCCCTGACAGCTATTTGTCTAACCTGTTGTTAAAATCCTTCAATAATGAACATTATACAACCTGCCTAACTATCCTGATAGGAAGTTTTTCCTAATGTCTAACTTAATTTTCCCCTGCTGCAGTTTAAGCCCATTACTTCTTGTCCTGTCCTCGATGGTTAAGAAAAACAATTTATTACCCTCCTCTTTGTAACAACCTTTTACATACTTGAAGACTTATGTCCCCCATCAGTCTTCTCATCTCCAGACTAAACAAACCCAATTTTTTCAGTCTTTCCTCAGAGGTCATTTTGTTGCTCTCCTCTGGACTTTCTCCAATTTGTCCACATCTTTCCTGAAGTGTGGTGCCCACTGCCCAGAACTGGACAAAGTACTCCAATTGAGGTCTTCTCAGTGCTGAGTAGGGTGGAAGAACTACTTCTCATGGCGTGCTTACAACGCTCCTACTAATACATCCCAGAATGATGATCACTTTTTTGCAACAGTGGTACACTGTTGACTCATTGAGTTTCATTTATTTCAAACCATTTCTCCAAAAGATCATGTTGCATTCTAATCCTGTCTTCCAAAGTGCTTGCAACTCCTCCCTGGTTGGCATCATGCACAAACTTTATAAGTGTTCTCTCTATGCCCCCACAACATGCTACAAAAACTCCAGGGCCGGGGGGGAGGGGAGGACTCGGGGCTCTGGGCTGTGGGGCTCAGGCATAGGTGTAGTTTGACTTCTATTTTGGGTGGGCGGGGGCCAGTAGGGGTTGAGACAGCTCTGCATGGTGGGGTCCAGGGAGGGAGCGCCACCTCTACCCCCTGACTCACCTCAGCAGTGCCACCTGCCTGTCTGGGTTCTGTGTGTGGGGGTGGTGCAACCAAAAATTATAACTCAAAAGTGGGGGGCTCAGGTCAAAAAGTCTGAAAATAGCTCAGAGTGCAGGGAGGGAGTAGCTAGGGCCTATGTGTGGGCAGGGGGTAGCACAGGGTGCAGGGAGGGGTAGCTAGGGGTTGTGTGCAGGCAGGGGGTAGCTCAGGATACAGGCGGGGGTGGCTAGGGGCTGTGTGTGGACAGGGGGTAGCTCAGGGTGCAGGCAGGGGATAGGTTGGGGGCTGTGTGCGGACGGGGGGTAGCTCGGGGCTGTGTGAGGACATGGGATCTTATCTACCAATTCTCTGAGTTTGCTAACGTCTGCCTTCTTGAAGTCCACTGTCTAATATTCTGCTGTTTCCCTCCCACCACTACTTAGAATTATGAACTCTATCCTCTCATGATCACTTTCACCCAAGCTGCCTTCCACCTTTAAATTTTCAACCAGTTCCTCCCTGTTTGCCAGGCTCAAATCTAGAACAGTCTCTCCCCTAGTCATTTTCTCCACCTTCTGTAATAAAAAGTTACCTAATACATTCCAAGAATGTTAGATAATCAGTGCCCTGCTGTGTGGTTGTTCTTTGATAGCTCTTTATTTATCTAAAGCAATACATTTACTTACCAAATATGTAAAATAGTCCTGTTGCTATATTAGAGCCTTCTAGTTTCCTATAGGTGGAATCTGCTTGTTTGGTTTTTAAGGAATGTATGACAAAACCTGAAGTTCTTACTTAATTTCTACTCTTCTTTACTCAGGCAACCTTCCATTGACTTGTGTCTGAGTGAGATTCTGATCTCGGTTGCTCAGCTGTAAATCTAGAGTAACTCCAGTGGGTCTAGTTCCTGATTGCCCCAGGTTGTACTACATGGGGTGCCAGGCAAAGTGCCTCCAAATCACAATGAAAGTGTTTACACCTACTTAGCATGGGTATAAATGACTACATAAGGTGCAGGGCAACAGAGAACTAGATGAATTTAGGCGATTGGGCTTACTTACACTGGTAGAACTGAGGGAAAACTTGGTCCTGAATGACTCAGACTTTGGCTCATAAGAAAGATAAAAGGCTCTAATCCTTTATTCTGGGGACACAAGGCTACTCCAAGATTAGATCCCTGTAATCCCAGCTATTTAAATACTTATTTTAAGATAGAATGGAAAAAACGGTACCAAATGTTTGTCTTACATTTTAATATTGCCATGATGGACTTATTTGCTAGGATGGATTCCATTTTGGGGCATCTCTTTACACAGCACTTCCACCCACCCACATACAGGCCCTAGCTGCCAAATTCAGATTTTTAACACCCCTCCACTAACACACAAGTTCAGGGCATTCTAATCGAGGGTCTGCCTCAACCAGCTATAGAGAGGGGAGTGTAGTACATTTCAGATCCAGATCTGGGTATGGATTTCTAACATGCCCACTTCGCAGCTTGAAGGTGGTGGGAGGGAAGGACTCAGGTCAGATATGAGGTATTACTTTAGGCCCATCTCTAATTCTTCTCTTTAAAAAAAAAAAAAAAAATCCTAAGAAGTGGTACCAGGAAAACCGAAGGGGCCTCTTTCATATGGGGCAAATTTCCAACAAGAGCATAAGGGGTGCAGCTCTGAAAATTGTTATTAGTATTTGTATGACAGTAATGCCTAGAGACCCCTGCCATGACTGGGGCCCCACTGCGCTAGATGCTCTACATACGCATAGTCAGTAGAGGCACCACTCTTCTACTGTCTTACTTTGAGTGCCCAAAGCATGCTCGGTGCTGTATGCTGCAGCATGGACCTCCAGATCATGTTTCTTTGGCTACCGAGCACTAAAAATGAGACAATAGCACAACTCAAAAGAATTTAAAGGAATATCATCAACCTGTTTAGCCCCAAAATGACTAGTAGCCACTAGGAACACTACATTGGGGCACTGGTGTGAACCTAAGCGAAAAGCCCCTCATCTCTTACCAGGCCCCTGAACCATCTATTCTCTCATTCATGAGGTTTGTACTCAACAAAAGAACAAAGACAGGGAACCTATATTCAGCAAGTAAAGCAGGCGCATGCTCTGCTGGACTGCATTACCTCTTCCAGCAGCTTCCAGTCATATTTTGTATGTCCACGGAAAACAGTCAGGAACTCGATAGGAAGGAAGAGCTTCCACTTCTTAGCTGGACAGCCTCTTAAAAACCCATTCCTGAAATCCTCAAATGGCTTCTTTACCGATTCATTGAACACATAATTCACGTATGCATTGACGTATTCTTTCCTGCAAAAATAATCAACCGAATGCTACTGATTTCTTGCTTTTAGTGAAACAGAGTCAGAGGCAACTTTAAAGGGGAAACCTGCAATAGTTCGTTCCTGAATGTGGCCTTAATCCAACACATGCAAGACACTTTGTGCACACGTATAGCCATCCCACTGAGTTCAGTAAGATTACTTGTGTACATAAACAAACAGGAATGGCCACTACAAATGACTGTCAATTCAGTCACCCCCATGAATGCATTTTCTGTGCTGTTTTTATACATTTTAAGGTCATTCTTATTAATTATTTATATTATAGTAGTAGCCAAGGGCCCCAGAGTAAGACATGGTGGGTATTCTTTATTTTGTGCTGTATGCACATTTATGAACACAGATCCCTGGTCCATATTCTGCTGTTTTACAGTGGTATAAATCCAGAGCAACTCCCACTGAAGTCAACAGAATTATTCTGGATTTACACAGGTTTAACTCAGTTTGAGTCTTCTTTTTATTTGTGATAGGAATAATTCACTGGAATGGTAGTTCTCTACCACCTACCCATTTTAAATATTATATATAGGGCTTAAATAGGGCTTTCAGATTCAGAGATTTTAAGCCCAGTCGGGACCATTTCTGATCTTCTACATAACACAGACCAAAGACTATCATCTCCCAGTTACCCCTGTGTTGAGGTTATCCCTGATACACTGTAAGGTTAATGGACTTTTACTTCCAACTATCTTTCTGTCCTATGTAACAAACACTTCGCTCATGAGAAAAATCTTACAGTTTAAAACCAATATATATATAAATCTATACCTCTTCCAAGACAGAAACTAAAACACGAGATGCTTAAAGAAAAGTGTGTGTGTATGAGAGAGAGAGAGAGAGAGAGAGAGAGAGAGAACTACCTGTTATGCTTTGTGATTGGAATGTCTGCACCATTTTCTTTAAGTTCAATGGAAACTATAGATCTTCCTTGTTCCTTCATTATCTACAACAGTCAAAGGCAAAGTAAAGAACTGAATGCTGGCTTACACATACCATTCTTATTCTTTACACAGAGCCTGATACTGCAAACACTTATGAGGGCGAGGACTTAACTTATATGATCAGTTGTGTTGATTTCAATGGGACCACTCATGAATCAAGTTACTCTGTGTATAAGTGTTTGCAGAGCTGGGCCCCGTAAGTAGGATGATAATGGCTTACTGTGAAATCTATCATCATGTTCTCAAGGATGTCATCATAGTCTTCATCCAGGATTTCTTGAAGATTCCTGTCAGACAAGAAGCAATATGGAAATAGACTCTAAATAATTTTGTTAGTGCAAGTTAGCAAAATATTTTCTAATTCCGTACATATACACATATTTTATGTCTTACACCTTATCTAGCACCGTTCATTCCGAATGACCCACAAATTGGTCTACAACTGGTCTATAAACTTCAGGCCTGATCCAGCAATGAGCTTCATGTGGCCTGAACAGAGCCCCCCCCACCCCCCCACCCCGACTTTAAAGGAATTCCATGCAGATGTATGGGTCAGCTTGCACCCAGGTCATTGTAGGGCTGGGGCCTTGGACCCCCATCCTACAGTTACATATGCGAATAACCTTACACACGTGAATAGTCCCACTGACGGTTATTCACATGTGTAAGTGGGTGCAGAATCAAGGCCTGAGGCTGCTATGTTTACTGAGTAAAGAGAATTCCATCATGGACCAGGGGGATGGTAGAGAAGAACTATTTTGTAGTGCAGAGCAGCGCCACACAGCAATTTAAGACAGGAAGTGAAGATTTTTTTAGTAATTTGGTTCACTGATGTAATTCATGCTTTGCTTGTTTTTTTTAATTTTTGTGTGAAGCACCTAGTTGCCATGGTGATAAGTGCTGTGCAAGTCAGTGAAATAAGAAGTGAAACAGCAGGGGGAGGAGGTTGGGTAGGCAGAATGCAAGTAGCCGAGTTGGAACTTGTCCAAGACACTGGAGTTAATAGACATGCTATTAAAAAACAAACAAAATAAAATGCCGTGCAATCTTTGTGATCCCGGTCTCTTGTTTCTCAGCCAGAACGGGCACCACAGTATCCCCATCTATGATGATAGGGCATCAGTTCAAAATTGAATCGAGGGGAAGAACGCTATCTACTGAATCACCATCACCATTTCCTGCTGTACATAGCTGAAAACTCTTATTCAAAACCTAACGCAACCAAAGCTGAGTTTCTCAGATCTGACATGATCACAGCATAGAGAAATACTTCTGTTATACTAAACATTTAAGTTGGTTAAAATGCAATCACAACAGAAATTTATAACCCACCAATCAGGGGACTATTAAAGGAGATGCATCTTTGTTTCAGCCAGGTCTAAATTATAGGCAACAACATTCTTAGGGCTTGTCTACACTGGCAAGTTTTGTCGCCAAAAACTGCCTTTTGGCAACAAAACAGCAAGAGTGTACACACTACAATGGGACTTTTGTCGCAAAAAACGTTGGCGACAAAAAGCTTCCACCCCTACGAGAGACTTTTGTCTTTTCCCCTCCCTTTATTGTCGACAAAGAGCCAGTGTAGACACTGCCGCTTGTTCCGTCAACAGAACTGGCTTCTGCCAGTATCCCACAATGCCTGCCCTGATTGCTCTGCTCAGTGTTTTGATCTCTGCTGCCCTGCAGGCATGCACCCCTCCCCTTTCAAAGCTCCGGGAAGTATCTGTGTGCTGCTCCATTTGGGGAACCAACAAAGAGCAAATCATTGGAATGCTCCTGTTCTGCCCTGCACTGCACTACGAACACAGCGGCAGGCAGACTGTAGCGGGAGGGGGACAGACTGCTGGGCTGCTTTGCCATTCCTCAGCACGGAGAGCTCACAGAGCTGCTCATGATGCTGCTCTCGGCAGCTGAGGGGCTGTGGGAGAACCCGGAGAGAATCCCAAGATGCCCAGCGATCAGCTCGTCCTTCCCACAACACTGGGGGATACATACCCACGGTGCATTGCTCACCCTGTCGATGATGGTGTCCCCAATGTGGGCATGATCTGTCGACAGAGGGAGCAATCCACTTGCAGGGCAGACGTACCCTGAGTGTCTCATCTCTGGAGCATGTCCATGTCCTAGAATTATCATATCAAAAGCAGTATGGTATTATAGGTTCATCGAAGGCATGTACTTGAATAACTGCATTTTGCTCTGTTTTTAGTGGTTTCTATGCACACCACAAAGTAGGAGACTTCACCCCTTCCCCCCCAACTTTTATTTCATGGCACAAAGCTTGGGAAATTGTTTTATCATACCTCCCTTCTGTAGGAGACAGCTCTTTTAAGTCTTCTAGAGTGGGTGGAATATCCAGCAACTTTTTGTACAGAGCTAGAGGGAAATGAAAGGGAGCGATCTTCCTGTTATACAGTGCCATTCCAAACAGAGTGCCAATCAGGGAAAAGGTGTCTTCGCTTCCTGGTACCTAGTTTGTGTGTTTAAAAAACAAAACAAACCCCTTATTACTGACTTTTTATTATAGTGGGGAGGGAGTGTGTCTAGAGGCTAGAGGCAGGGGACTGGGCATCTGGATCCGTGAATTGTATTCATCATTCTGCTGCTGAGTTCCTGGGCGAGTCACTTACACTCTCTTATAGCTATGTCTAACCTGCAGTTGGGAGGTGTGATTGCAGCAAATGTACATACACCTGAGCTAACTTTGATCTCGCTAGACCAAAGCAAGCTTGAGTATCAATCGCAGTGAAGCTGCAGCAGCACAGATGACACCCACTCAAGTATATGCCCAGGGTCCTGGGCAGACAGGGCTAGTCCGTGCCACTGTCGCTTCACTGTGATTATTACTTGAGCTAGCTTCAAAAGTAGCTCATGTTTGTCTACATGTCCTACAATCACACCTCCTGGTTGCAGAGAACATGCCCTAAGCGTAAATAAAGAAGTAACTGCATACATACAGAACCCTATGCCTGTTATTTAAAGGAGCAAGCATTTCTGAGGCCCAAAATATGAACTGGAAACTCCTTTAACTGAGAATCTGGTTGTTGGTGGGACTCCAGGATTTCTCCTAATGGAGGCTGAGCTTGCTCAGTGGAACCCAAGCACTGCCCACAGGGAGACCTGCAGCATTTCTAAGTCTGTTTCTCACAGAAGACATGACCCAAAGCGTGAGCCAGTTCATAAAAACGTGAAGGGGGTGGGGTGACAGTCATATGGGGAAATACCAGCTAAGAGACTTTTTTTTTTTTTTTTAAGTGAGGTTAAAAAATAGTATCATCTTAATAACTCACCTGGGAAGGGAACCAAATCAGCGTGGAGTCCTCAAAACGTCTGAATATCTGTGCTTCTGGACAACACAGTTCCCTTGTAATGATAGTGAAGAACTCCTGGGACAACCCTCCATCATCAATACCTTGTTCTCCAACGAACTGCACCTGAATAGCCCCAAAAGACCCCAACAAAATCACTGCTCGTGTCCATACTGAAATGATCATTTGCACAACTCCTCCCAGCACTAGGCAGTTACTTGGGCCCTGAAATCTGCACTGAGCTGGATGCAGGTGCAAGGGACTGTCAATGCATATGAAATTGCAGGATTGGGGACTCGTTTGCAGAAGTGGCAATTACAAATTGAATACCCATAACTGCTGTGGCTGTTCAGCGTGAAACGCTCAGTGTGTTTACCCTTGAATGATCATCATCTGTTATAATGGACAGGAGATGGAGATAGAAGAAGGAAAAGGTATAAGTGATACCACAGTGTTGTCAACTGTCATAAATTTATTGTGAGACTCACAATAATTTGGGGGGCCTGACTCGTGATTTTTTTGAATGCTTGAAGTTGGCAGTACTGGTACCATAATCTGACAAATTAGATCCTTATCCTTAAATCCAAGGCTCTAATTCTTCCCCTGCCCAGTTTTCACAGGTTACTTTGCTTCATCAATATTTGCTTTTAGTGCTGTTGAAAGATGCCAGACAGACAGCTCGACACCCACTTTAATGACGATAAGCCACATCTGAATGTTAGTATGCACGAGGGGTAAAATCCTGACCCCAGAAAAATTAGTGACAACACTCCCATTGACTTCAATGGGGACAGGATTTCACCTGTAGGATCTATATCACTGTTGGTCTGCAACCTGTGCAGTTATTTACATCAGGGCCAAGTGGGTGGAAAAGGCTATCATTCTGACTTGGTAGTGTTCAACACTCACTTAGCTTTGGAAAGAGTTGTCTCCTGCTTATTCACACAGCAGGCACTGTGCATAAAGCCACAGTGCAAATTTGCCCCTTTCAAGAACAATACATTCACTTACAGAAAACACTGCTGGTAGTTTTATAACATTGGAAAGCATAGAAGCTTGAGTTTAAACCTTATTTTATAAACAGCATAGCACCATCTAGTGGAAAGCAGTTGGTACTACCTAATTTTAATTCCATGAATTAAATATTAGCCATATCTGCATTAAAAAACCCTGATATTTGTTATATATAACACACACATGTACACACAATGTCATTAAAATAAAATTATGTGTATTTACTGTTCTGCATCATTTGTATATCGGGTTCTCAGAAAACTTTATACTCCCCAAATGTGGATTGCTGTATAAAACTGTAATTCTTTCTTGCCATTTTAGCGACAATAATAAATTACATGATCTTTTGGGTCATGGTTTCTGATAATCTCAGAACCCCTGGATAGAAATAATTACCCGGCTAGGAGTTGCCTGAACATCTAAGCCTGACTGTTGTGTAAATAAATGTAATACTTTGTTAATTTAAAGTGAGCGTTAGACATTCTCATGAAAAAAATTATAGCATGTATAGCAGTCACATAGGCCCTGACTTTTAAAGTGTAAAAGAATCCAAGGAAATGTCCCCATGAACATCTGTAATAAATTCAGTCTCCCACTCCCATTATTCTGTGCTCTCTCATGCCTGATACAGTCTCTCTCTCTCTCTCTCTCTCATCTTCTCTTGTGGTGTGCTTTTTTGAAGTGTTCTTTCATTCTATTCCCCAATGCATTTTTCTACTTCTCCAATATACTTCTCTACTCCTCCAATCTCTCCCATGCGTTCCCTTCCCCTCTTTGCTCCTCCACTTCACCTCCCAGTTGTGTTTTGCTGCTCCATCCCTGTTGTATCATAGCAGCAGTAAATAGCATTTACAAAATCCAGTGGTTCTGTCCACACTTGAAAGCACATGTGGCTTCCATGTGCTTCAGTTACCTTTTATACTATTACTGAAATATTTTGTAGAGTGCCCTCTTCTGGCAGGGCAGCTCTGTGACATCAAACATCAAAGCAAGTGCTGCACTGTCTGGGGCATTTGCTGACACAGTTTGGGGAGTTTAGATTTTTTCTGTATGTCAGCAGGTATTCAGGTCAAAATACGGGCTATGGGGAAGCTCACTTGCCAAAATGTAATATTTTTGTCTTATTATTTTTATGACATTAGGCACTAAGTATTTCGTATTTTTGTTTGTTTTTCTTTCGTTTTTTAATTGAGTTTAAAACGCCCTAGATTCTCTTTTTCCAGTTTCCCACTGGAACCATTTTTTCCTGAGCAAGTTATAAACCTCTGAAAACAAAGGTTTAGAACAGTCAAGCTGGAATATGTTGAACAAGTGAGATTTCAAAAGAAATTCCAATGTCCCACTGAAATCAACTCAACAAATTCTTTCCTCATCACAGTGAGCTTAAAAATAAAAATGGACTAAAAATTAACTCCTAACAAGGGAGTATCCCTAACCCCTCCACACAGTACAATTTGTCAGGGAGCGTAACTTTTCCTATAGGTGCACAAATAGCTTGTAGACCTGGTTGAACTGCTAAGGGAAATGCTTAGAATGAGATTAAGTATCAGGGGGTAGCCGTCTTAGTCTGTATCCACAAAAACAATGAGGAGTCTGGTGGCACCTTAAAGACTAACAGATTTATATTCCTCATTGTTTTAGAATGAGATTAAATTACTACATCTGTTGATCCATTAATCTATTATGGTACTGATGGGGTACCTCCACCATAGTATCTGAGAGTCTCCAAGTATTTAGAAAATAGAAACCACAGTTTCTGCCTTCCGAGCCATAGGAGAAATAGCTTAATTAGCTGACAGTGTGGCGAACCAAGTGAAAGTGATAACTGACTATATGCAGCGTGGGCTGAAAGGGAAGATGAGTTGCTACAAGGAAAGAGCAGTTGCTATAAATAACCCAGTTCAGGGGCAATGCAGCATTGGCTGATTACTAGGAACTAAAGTGCAAGCACCCAGGCTGCACAGGGACTCTCTGGAGCCAGCACAGGAAGGAGCTAGTTGCAGAGAGGAGGAGGAGGCTGGCCCTGTGAGTCAGCACACAGCACACAGCAGCAGGCCCGGCAGTGGCTGAGCAGGACCATGCGAGGACGGTATGTGAGCAGGACCCTCGCCTCAGTGCTGCTGTTCAGGCAGCCCCAGCCTGTGGGAGCAGGCGCTGCAGCTAACAGACCCTTCCCGGGTGCAGCCCCGAGACACTCCTCGGACGGGCAGGAGCAGCCCAAGGCGTGGGACCCGGCTCTGCTCGAGTTCCTGGTCTGCCCGCTATCCAAGAAACCACTGAGGTGAGGCCAGCCTCCTTCCCTTTCTCTCGGATTGAGAGATTTTAGGGGACCCTTGTGGTCATCTAGCCTGACCTGCTGCATGATGCAAGCCAGGGAACCTTGCCCAGTAATCCCTGCCTGTAGGGAATAGACTCTCCTCCCCTTTCCCACAAACCCACCGCCCTCTGAACTTCCAGTGTCCAGCTAATCTCTCCCCCCCCCTTCTTTAGAGAGAAGATTTTAACCAACAGTGACAATTTTGTCTGAGGCTGATTTCAAAGCACGAGTGAAATTTCACTGTCCTGTTGAAAAACACAACAATAGCCTTTAATCACAAAAGGAGCTGGTTTTTAAATCAGCCCTAAAGTTAATCTGAATGAGAGCCTACACCATCCGATGAGTAAATCTGGGCAGGTCACTCACTTCCAATTTTCTGCAGCTATGCATTAACTGAACTGTATATCTACACGGGGGAGGGAAGCGAGTTACAATGGAAGGGGTGTGTGTGCGCGTCACACCCATTCACGCTCTCCCTCCATTTTTACCTATTTCCCTCCATGGGCATGTATTTATATCTACTAGAATTAACTGAAATACAGCAAAAGGCAGGAACTGAATGTAACCTGTAGGGTTCATGACAAGCACATGTGCTCCGTGGAAGCTACAGTTTGCCATAATTTATATTTACACCTTCTCTTATTGGCAGAGAGAAAGGAGGGTCAGGACAAAACCGGGAGGAAAGATCAAACCAGTATCTTAGATGCCTATATACAAATGCGAGAAGTATGGGTAATAAGCAGGAAGAACTGGAAGTGCTAATAAATAAATACAACTATGACATTGTTGGCATCACTGAAACTTGGTGGGATAATACACATGATTGGAATGTTGGTGTGGATGGATACAGCTTGCTCAGGAAGGATAGACAGGGGAAAAAGGGAGGAGGTGTTGCCTTATATATTAAAAATGTACACACTTGGACTGAGGTAGAGATGGACATAGGAGACGGAAGTGTTGAGAGTCTCTGGGTTAGGCTAAAAGGGGTAAAAAACAAGGGTGATGTCATGCTAGGAGTCTACTACAGGCCACCTAACCAGGTGGAAGAGGTGGATGAGGCTTTTTTTAAACAACTAACAAAATCATCCAAAGCCCAAGATTTGGTGGTGGTGGGGGACTTCAACTATCCGGATATATGTTGGGAAAATAACACAGCGGGGCACAGACTATCCAACAAATTCTTGGACTGCATTGCAGACAACTTTTTATTTCAGAAGGTTGAAAAAGCTACTAGGGGTGAAGCTGTTCTAGACTTGATTTTAACAAATAGGGAGGAACTCGTTGAGAATTTGAAAGTAGAAGGCAGCTTGGGTGAAAGTGATCATGAAATCATAGAGTTTGCAATTCTAAGGAAGGGTAGAAGGGAGAACAGCAAAATAGAGACAATGGATTTCAGGAAGGCGGATTTTGGTAAGCTCAGAGAGCTGATAGGTAAGGTCCCATGGGAATCAAGACTGAGGGGAAAAACAACTGAGGAGAGCTGGCAGTTTTTCAAAGGGACACTATTAAGGGCCCAAAAGCAAGCTATTCCGCTGGTTAGGAAAGACAGAAAATGTGGCAAAAGACCACCTTGGCTTAACCACGAGATCTTGCATGATCTAAAAAATAAAAAGGAGTCATATAAAAAATGGAAACTAGGACAGATTACAAAGGATGAATATAGGCAAACAACACAGGAATGCAGGGGCAAGATTAGAAAGGCAAAGGCACAAAATGAGCTCAAACTAGCTACGGGAATAAAGGGGAACAAGAAGACTTTTTATCAATACATTAGAAGCAAGAGGAAGACCAAAGACAGGGTAGGCCCGCTGCTTAGTGAAGAGGGAGAAACAGTAACAGGAAACTTGGAAATGGCAGAGATGCTTAATGACTTCTTTGTTTCGGTCTTCACCGAGAAGTCTGAAGGAATGCCTATCCTAGTGAATGCTAATGGGAAGGGGGTAGGTTTAGCAGATAAAATAAAAAAAGAACAAGTTAAAAATCACTTAGAAAAGTTAGATGCCTGCAAGTCACCAGGGCCTGATGAAATGCATCCTAGAATACTCAAGGAGCTAATAGAGGAGGTATCTGAGCCTCTAGCTATTATCTTTGGAAAATCATGGGAGACGGGAGAGATTCCAGAAGACTGGAAAAGGGCAAATATAGTGCCCATCTATAAAAAGGGAAATAAAAACAACCCAGGAAACTACAGACCAGTTAGTTTAACTTCTGTGCCAGGGAAGATAATGGAGCAAGTAATTAAGGAAATCATCTGCAAACACTTGGAAGGTGGTAAGGTGATAGGGAACAGCCAGCATGGATTTGTAAAGAACAAATCATGTCAAACCAATCTGATAGCTTTCTTTGATAGGATAACGAGTCTTGTGGATAAGGGAGAAGCTGTGGATGTGGTATACCTAGACTTTAGTAAGGCATTTGATACGGTCTCGCATGATATTCTTATCGAGAAACTAGGCAAATACAATTTAGATGGGGCTACTATAAGGTGGGTGCATAACTGGCTGGATAACCGTACTCAGAGAGTTGTTATTAATGGTTCCCAATCCTGCTGGAAAGGCATAACGAGTGGGGTTCCGCAGGGGTCTGTTTTGGGACCGGCTCTGTTCAATATCTTCATTAACGACTTAGATATTGGTATAGAAAGTACGATTATTAAGTTTGCGGATGATACCAAACTGGGAGGGATTGCAACTGCTTTGGAGGACAGGGTCATAATTCAAAATGATCTGGACAAATTGGAGAAATGGTCTGAGTTAAACAGGATGAAGTTTAACAAAGACAAATGCAAAGTGCTCCACTTAGGAAGAAAAAATCAGTTTCACACATACAGAATGGGAAGAGACTGTCTAGGAAGGAGTACGGCAGAAAGGGATCTAGGGGTTATAGTGGACCACAAGCTAAATATGAGTCAACAGTGTGATGCTGTTGCAAAAAAAGCAAACGTGATTCTGGGATGTATTAACAGGTGTGTTGTGAGCAAGACACGAGAAGTCATTCTTCCGCTCTACTCTGCTCTGGTTAGGCCTCAGCTGGAGTATTGTGTCCAGTTCTGGGCACCGCATTTCAAGAAAGATGTGGAGAAATTGGAAAGGGTCCAGAGAAGAGCAACAAGAATGATTAAAGGTCTTGAGAACATGACCTATGAAGCAAGGCTGAAAGAATTGGGTTTGTTTAGTTTGGAAAAGAGAAGACTGAGAGGGGACATGATAGCAGTTTTCAGGTATCTAAAAGGGTGTCATAAGGAGGAGGGAGAAAACTTGTTCACCTTAGCCTCTGAGGATAGAACAAGAAGCAATGGGCTTAAACTGCAGCAAGGGAGGTCTAGGTTGGACATTAGGAAAAAGTTCCTAACTGTCAGGGTGGTTAAACACTGGAATAAATTGCCTAGGGAGGTTGTGGAATCTCCATCTCTGGAGATATTTAAGAGTAGGTTAGATAAATGTCTATCAGGGATGGTCTAGACAGTATTTGGTCCTGCCATGCGGGCAGGGGACTGGACTCGATGACCTCTCGAGGTCCCTTCCAGTCCTAGAATCTATGAATCTATGAATCTATGAATCCTTTGCAGACACAAACACAATCATAAAGTACCCCATGAATAGCCTTGAGGACATCATTGTGAAGTACAGCTGAGTTGAATGGCATTTTCTACACAAAATCTTAGTTCCCAGCTGCACTGCTGTAGGGTGCCCAAGCACTTAAGGAGAATTTTCATTTTCATCATTTAAATGTTCTAAATTTTGTAATGAGGAGTCACACCCTGCCTCCATTCTAAATAGTATCTTTACTTGAAGGCATGACTTCCTGCTTTGAGAATGTGTCCTGGTTACTTTTTGTTATGATAATTCTACTAGTTCCATAGTTTCCAACTACATACTTCTGTTGAGATTTCAGTTGTCTTTCACCCCCCCTCCAAAAAAAACAACCCAACCCAAAATCTTAAAAACCAAAACAAAAACCCAGGTCTTTGTATTTACTGTTCAATTCTTTAAATTTTTTGATCAGGTATGAAGCATCCACCAATGAACTAATTAACAAAGAGCTGGGCATCGCATATCCAATCATTGATGGCATTCCTAATATGATCCCTCAGGCCGCAAGGATGATTGACAGAAAGGCCCAGGATGAAGAACCGAAGCAAACCTAGATAGCGGTTATCATTAAAAACAAAACCTGAAGACTAACCTATGCCTACAGTAACTGGGGAAGAAAAATGTTCCTGTCACTGCCTACGCTAACTGTACTTGTTCCACTGTTGTCCTTAGCGGGTCTGTTTTATTCAGCCAGTGTGGATGAAAAGTTCCCAGAGGGCTGCACCAGCACAACCAGCTTGTGTTTCTATAGTCTGCTTCTTCCCCTTACCATACCAGTTTACGTGTTCTTTCATCTTTGGACCTGGATGGGTATTAAACTTTTTAGACACAACTAATAAGGCAAAAGCACAAAAGTAGACTTGCCAACCTTGTGGCCTACCCACACCCTAATATTATATTCTGTGCAGTTGCAATGGTCTCCTAGCATTAGTGATGATCTTTATTAATCTCCCAATGACACCTGAAAAATGTAACGTTCTGCACAAGCCTTGATGCACAATGGCCTCATTAGTGCTAAGAGAGATAATTAAATAACATTTTCTCTTGTTCCTCCTCCATGTTAGTGTGTCCCATCAAAACCGATGGGTGTGTTGTAAGGCTATGCTACTAGCCTGTCAAAGGTGTTGTGTCTCTTTGCTAAGAATAAATGTTGTGCACTGATGGAGATGAATTATTTTAAATAGGCTAGGGTGAGTTTCACTATGCCTCTTTCAATAAGCAGCACTGTCATGCGGTAGTTGCCTTGCTGGTTTGAACTGATGGCTGCAGTGGAATGCATTTGTCTTACTGGGCTATGGAAATAGAGTATAATACACCTCTACCCCGATATAATGTGACCCGCTATAACACAAATTCGGATATAACACGGTAAAGCAGTGCTCCGGGGGGGACGGGGCTGCGCACTCCGGTGGATCAAAGCAAGTTCGATATAACGCGGTTTCACCTATAACACGGTAAGATTTTTTTTTTTGCTCCCAAGGACAGCGTTATATCGAGGTAGAGGTGTACATCAAACTTGTATCCACATGTGCTTTGCAGACTCTATATTAGGAGCTCTTTGGTCACTACTGAAATGCAGCCACATTGGAGGTGGCATCCATTTATGCACCTGTAAAGCTATAGGTCTAATTTTAGATGGGGAAGTGAAAAGTAATGTCTCTAATTAAATTATAGGGGGAATGAAGATGGCATTTGTCATTGCTGAAATAGGCATTATGATGATTGCCAGGATAGCAAAGCTGGCACACCTATTCATGGGATAGTAGCCTGGGGGCTCCTCGAACCTGTGCCAGCTGGCAAAGGTCCCTACCAGCTGGGGATAGCAGTGTGGCATGCAGCAACCATACCCTCTCCCCAGCCCCTTGCCAGATCTATGCTGTCTGGGGAAATGCAGTACAAAGGGAGCAGAGCAGGGCTCAGAATCTGGCCTATTAAAATGTCCATTGTTTGTTGTTAGATCTCACTACAGGATGATAGGGTCATATAGGTTTCTATTTTCCAAACTCATATTAGCACTACCCAATGGAGTACTCTTTCACTGCTAGGCCACCTCCTTATGACTGTTGAGTAGTCTGCTGTATGTGAAAGTGGTGGCCAGGCAAACTGATGTCTGTACAACACAAGTCGTGGCCAGGCAAACTGATGTCTGTACAACACAAGTCCTGGCCAGGCAAACTGATGTCTGTACAACACAAGTCATCTCCATGACCAGCACTAGGGGCCAAGAACTGACTTGGCCACAGAGACTAACTGCTGCTGTCCCTATTGGAGATGGCCTCCCGCACACCATGGATGAGATGCCCCAGCGGCACAGCATGGGAGATGACTGTATAGCTGCTGCCTTTGCTGTACCATCATGTAGTTACAAAGGAGGCTTCAGTTTCCATTTCTGTTGGTCTTGCACCAACTATCATGAAAAAACAATTAGATGGATGAGTGAATAAGGTCCTGACCTTGCAGGAAATCTGGGTAGTGGACTTTAATGGAGCTCTGCATGGGCCCGGGCCCAGGATCAGGATCTGCACAGATCTCACTACAGGATCATAGAGTCATATAGGCTTCTATGTTCCAAACTTATATCAGCACTATGGACTGGAGTGTTCTGGTTATCATATCCACGCCACGAGAGACAGCAAATGCAACAACTCGTTACCCAATTTTTTTTCTTTTGGTGGTGGTGGTCCTTCTTCCCTGCCAGCAGTTCCCACCCTGCGTCTACCGCAGCAGTGTGAACACGCAGGTTCACTCTGCCGTTTATTCCACGCCTTACAGCATCGAATGCCCTGCTTACAGCTTTGCTTCGTTAAGCAACACATCAAAAATACTGTCTGCCCTCCCAGATTATAACTAGTTGCTTTTCCCTAGAGCATCTTATTACTCTTTTCTGATTTCTCAGTAACTAAATCTTTAAGAATATTTACCTGTAGTTTGGTTTGTTTATATATAAATTCATGTATGTAAACTACCATCCAATTAAATACAGACTCTGTGAAAATGGGATAAATATGCTACCTGATTCCTCTCTTCCTCTTTACCTCATAGTGTTGGGCAGTGTCATGGCTTGCTGTCATCATGTGCTATATTTGGGGGGAGGGATAGCTCAGTGGTTTGAGCGTTGGCCTGCTAAACCCAGGGTTGTGAGTTCAATCCTTGAGGGGGCCATTTGGGGATTGATCCTGCTTTGAGCAGGGGGTTGGATTAGATGATCTTCTGAGGTCCCTTCCAACCCTAATATTCTATGATTCTATCTAAAGGAGGCCAGCTCTTGTTTCCCAGAGTTAGACTTGAGGGGCAGGGAGGTAGCAAAGAATGAATCTGGTAGACTTGTATTCTTTGATTTATTGCTGTATTTGTTCTATCAACTTGTACAAGTGACTCCATCTTACTTAGGGTCATAGTAGTTAGTTATAGACAAGACCCGCAGATCACGGAGTCCATCCCAATGCAAGGAATAGCTTCCCCCCACCCCATTAGAAGACCTAACCAATGTTAACCAGTCCCCATAGGGCTGTCCCTAGGGGGCTGCGGAGCCTGGGACATAGGCGCTGAGTTTCCAATCTGCCAGGGGGGGGGGCTCTGCCCAGGCCCCTGCCCCCACTCTGCCCCTGCCCCCAAGGCTCCACCCCTGCCCCTTCTGCCCTGCCTCTTCCCGCCCTGCCCCAACTCTTCCTCACCCAGTTCTGCCCACTCCCCTCCCCCCCAGCACCTCCTGACGCCGCGAAACATCTAATCCATGGTAGGTGCTGAGAGGGAGCGGGGCCCGCCCGTGGGCAGGAAGTGCTGGGGTGAGGGGGAGGTTTTGGTAGAGGGGCTCCTCCTCACCCCTGCCCGGCTGCCGCTCACCTCCCCATTCGCCTCACCTCCCCGCTGCCTCCTGCGGTCACCCCGGCGGTCACCCCGATTCACCGTACCCAAGGGATGTCTCTGAGTCCCCATATATGTGACCAGCCAGAATCACAGGCTCAGAGATGCACTTTGCAGGAACGTATATAAATCTCACTACCCAGATAGGTATCCAAGACACAGATGTTACTCTTCAATTTTAACATGGAGATAGATATTTGTTACTGAGCTGTAAATGGAAGCACATTTCCAACCTAAGCTAAAAAGTTACGTAGGGAGAGTTTTCTGCTCCTTCATCCTTACCCTCTTGCATTTTACATCAAGGTGGCAATGGTATGCATAAGGACAATTTGTACATGTATGGTCTAGCTCATGCAGAGGAGTCACTTTTGCTACCACCATTCTCTGTCTCAACATCTGAGCTGTCTCTCTCTGTCCAGTTGGGAGCTCCTGTTTAAGTTAAGATGACTGGCATTGGTTGGCTAAGGGCTGTCTCCATGGTGGGGTAATGCATTATACGTGGCTGTGCTTTCTAAAGCGCACAAATGTGTTGAGTGTTAATTGGTCCCTGTAGACCCTGCTTTTGCACACTAACGGTTCTCTTGTAGTGCACTTTAACACTGGAGTTTCAAACATAACTATGTTGAAGTGCACCACCAGGGTGTACCCAGACCAATTAATACACAACACATTCCTGTGCTTTATAAAATACTCCACCCCCGTAGCGTGCATTACCCCACTGTGTAGATAAGTCCTAAGACTTGGTTCTCGCCCATTCACTGGGTATTTGTATCAGCCACTTGCTTTAATCAAACAAAGCTTAATTGCCAGGTATGCCAAGAACGAGAAGTTAATTCTAGCCCACATGGAACTTGCTTTTAAGTAATTTCCATGATACTTTTCCTCCTTCATTTTTAACTGGATTTTAAAATGCCTGTTGAATGCTGGAAAGATCTCTTTGTTGGTTATTAGCTATATTAAAGGCAAAGTACTCTAGAGCAATATACTCAGAGCTAACAAAATAATCAAGCTTGATTTCTTACTTGCAAGAATTTCTCAAATGTTTTAGGTGCTGCGCTCCTTAAATTCTGCCACACGTCATCCACAAGATGTGCTCTTCTGACCTCTAAACGCCACGGACCTCGTGGCACCAGGAAAGAGTTTGTCTACAAAACAAAATAGACAATGTGTTACAAGCTTTACAGTCTTTCGTTTTTTAAATTATTAAAAAAACCTCATTGACTTTGGCAATACTTACGTTATATATCCCGAACAGAATTTGGCGGTCAATTTCATAAACCACAATCTTATCTTGCATGTCAAAGATGCAAGGGTATGCAGTCAGTTTCAACAAAGCCCTCTGAAATGACAAGAAAGTTTAATTTTCAATGAGGAAAATGTATTTAAAATATCACTGCGATAAAGACAAGCTGGATTGTCAGTTGTTCCTCTGTCATGTTATGTACATAAGGCCGTATTTTTAAAAGGAACGTCCAAAAGTGAAATTCCCCATTTGTCTGTTAAAATAGCCACTTACAGGTTCTGTTCCCTACTGTGAGTACCTCAGCTCTAAAGCCTGATATTCTGCACCTTGTTCACAATGCACCATACCCCATTACACAAGAAGTCCCATTGAAATCAGAATCAGGCCTTCGCATTTTGTATGCACAAATGCATGGTTTTCACTTGCAAACTCGGTACACTTCTGAAAGCTGCTTTTGAAATTTGGCCCTAGGCATTATCATTACAGCAATGAGCATGGCAGTAGAAATTCCCAGATAGCTTATACAGATTCAGCATATTTTCTTCAAAATCCATTGAATTTTTGCAGAGGTTTTCAGCTCCCACCAATTCTGTTTGTCACTACTCTTAAATTTCAATGCTAACTATCATTAAAGGCATAATGATGAACATTCCGAAGCACTATATTAACCAACGAAAGGGGACAGTGGGTGTAGGTTATAAACACAACAAGGGTTGACAGATATTTGTGGATTTCACCTAAATTGCAAAATCTGAAAATAACACCCCAGTCTTTGAGACTGAACCATTTTATGAATAAGTTTGCAGCAAATGTGCGAGAAATGCTGCTGGTATGGAGACATCTGAATGGTTTGAGAACTGTGCCACTCACTATAGCAACTATGCCTGCTCAGATATTTATTTGGTAAGTTACTGCAGGAGGTTTCAATCTGGTGTATTTCCAAAACTATTTTGGACAGGTTGAGCCTGCTTCTGTCATTTGCTGCGTGTGGGCCAATTCTTTTATCATCATGGAAACCCCTTGAAGTCAACAAGGCTCAGCCCTGTTGCAACAATTTAGAAGATCGGGGCTTTAGGAGCTAGAAAAGATAACTGTCCAAGAGAATGAACGGATGAAAAAAATCACATCCCTCTGTTGGTTATATCGCCCCAGCTGCAGAGCAAGAAAGATAACAGCGTATAAATTTACACTAGGAAGGTCTAGAAAGAAAAATGTAGTACTTGTATATATTTCTAATGAACTATTATACTCTGCAGAACATCACAATGTTTTTCTACCACTGTGGATGAGCTCTTATTAAACTGCTGTAACACAGATATAAAAACCGGAAATATTAAGTGAGTGTTGAATACTCACCATATGAACCCATTTTACACCTTTTTTTGTTTTAAACAGAGGTTTACAATTAAGTTTTATTTGTAAAAGCTGGTGCAAGAAGAACACCCAATATTTCCCTTCTCCTGATGCCCTAGAGCAGAGGTCGGCAACGTTCGGCACGCGGCTCGCCAGGGTAAGCACCCTGG